GGCTGTGGCTGGTGTTCAGGGCCACTCAGCCCCACACCAGCGCCTGGGGACAGCCAGGAGGAGGTGGCCCCCGTGCAGCAAGCTCAGCATAGCTGGCTCGAGCAGCTGGTTTGGGGGGCAGGTGCCCCCATGCCAAGGGAAAGACCCTTCTTGGGCTGGGGGGACACCAGAGCCTGCAGGTCTCCAAGAGGCTGCACCTGAGACACCCCTTTAGGGTCTGCTGCCCAGGAGCCAGCACTACGAGCAACCCAGTGGGCACCCTGGTACCCCGAGTCTCTCTGGGACTGCTCTGTGTCTCCATGAGGAGGTGGGCAGGACCCTGCTGTCCCAGTAGAGCAGTTGACCCGTACACTAATGACCAGTGTCCCCAGGGACATCCTTCCCATGGCCATGGTGGGAAGGGTCTGGGCTCACACAGATACTAAGGGGTCAGACCTGTCAGGGCAGGGCTCCAGGGCTGCCTGGCACTTGGGGGACCTGGCTCCCCCATGGCTGTGAGAAGAGCAGTGAATGCCCTGGGCCCGCCCTGTCCCCTGCCTGGGTGGCATCAGCCACTATCTGCAGGCAGAGCAGCACAGGGGTCCCCTGATCACTGCCACATCTCCTCTGGGAACCCCCACCCTTGACACAGCCACAGGACGGCAGAGAAAGGAGGGTGCCAGGCACAGGGGCTCAGCTCCCCTCCAGCAACCTGGGGTACCAGTAGCCCCACTCGAGGACCCTCCCAACAAAGGATGGAGCTGGGGGCCACAGAGGAAGGGCAACCCTCCCAGCTAGGGGCACTGCCTGCAGATGAAAGTTCTGCTCACCCCTTCCCCTGGCTGTGCACCCTGTCTCTAACACCCAGGTTGGACAGTCCCATGGGTGGGTTTCCCTGTGCTCCATTGTCCCACCATGCCCTCTCCCCTGGACACATGGCCCAGGCTTCCCCAGGGACGGGCTCCCTGGCACAGCAGGGGCTCCCCTGGCTGGTGCCATGCCCTCTGCAATGCCCATCAGTATGTCTGAGGTGTGAGGATGAAAAGTCGGTCTTCTTCTTTGCGGATCCACTTCATGAGCTTGTTGACAGCACTGATGGCACCGGCCTTGGTCCCCAGGGGACTATAGCATATGTAGAGCTCAAAGGCGCTGGTTACCTGGGCAAAGAAACGGGGTACTTTCTGGGAACATGTCTGTGCCCTGCTTGGGGCTGGCACTGCACCTTCCCCATGGGCTGCGGGGCATGGGCACAGGGGCTCCAGTGCAGGGACACGAGGTGGCAATGGGGTACCCTTAATGAGTGGCTTCTGATTTGTCAGGAGGACCAAACCCCAGAGTGGGTTTTCTCCATGGCACTGGGGAGTTAAGGACAGTGCATGGCACAGCTCATGGTGCTGGAGCTCACCAGTTGCTGCTGAGATCCCTGCCTCTCCCTCCCTGGTATGGGTGGCATTGGGGCAGGCTCACCTCCAAAAGGACTGGGTGGCCGCCCTGGAGACCACAGAGGTGGTGCTGTGTTGTGCCACCACCCCCTTTTCCACCATGCTGGACAGGAGAAGAGGGGCTCACCCGAACCCTGCAGATGGCCCTTACCCAAGCCAGGAGGTTCTCACGGGGGCCCGTAAAGTAGATGTTCTTCAGGGGGCGCGAAGAGTTGTGAGCCCGGCTGTGGAGGTACTGGTAGAGCCCTAAAAGCCTCTCCTTCTCCTCCTCCCGCACGTAGGGTGCCTCAATCTCAGGGCTGCAAGAACACAGCACCCAGTTAGCCCCCTGGAGAAGGGGGTTTGTGCAGAAGGCTTGCCCCATGCCCCATGTTCCCTGTGGGCCTCACCTGGTGAAGAGCCCAGAGCTCTTGGACTTGTAGATGAAGTGCCGGAGATCAGGGATGCCCACCTGGGCCACGCTGTAGAAGGGGGTGCGCAGGGCCTCCTGGAGAGCATGGTGCACCCCCCGCCGCCGCAGCCGCTCCTGGAAGCGCCGCTTACAGTCAGACACAGTGAAGAAGTCCTCACGGTCAGTGGAGACCAGCAGGAGGCACAGGTCCATCTCCTGCTCCAGGTAGGAAATGTGGGCATGGAAAAAGCCGCTGGAGTTGAACTTTGGGAGGCAAATGGGAGTCCAGGCTTCCCCCTCCCGGAAGGAGGAAGAAGAGCTGATGAGGTTAAAGAGCAGATGGAGGTCAATGGGGTGGAGGAACTGGTCCTTCTTCCTCACAAGAGACACCAGCTGGTTCCCTGACAGAAGAATGGAGAAGACCAGGCTCTTGGCCTTGGCCTGCTGGAGGCTGGAGCTGACAGCGTCCCGCACACTGGCAGCCAGGGGCAAGCAGCGCACAGCACCCATGAGGAAGCTGGGGTCGTGGGCCATGAGGTCCAGGAGGTTGTCAGTGATGCGCTCGGAGCCAGCCAGGAGCCTGCGGAGGTCATAGTTCTGCTTCTGCTGGAAGATGTGGTTGAGCTGGGTCCAAGTGAGCAGGCTCAGGATCTGGTAATAGATGTAGAGCAGCTCGTGGGCGATCTCCTGCTCCGACTGCCGGGTCCGTGCCACTGCCACCAGCACCAGCGGGCTCCTCCGCACAAACACCACCTTGTAGCCATCTGCTTGGGAGGGAGTCCCCGGGGGGCCGGGGACAAGCCTGTAAGCCTGACTACCCATGGCTGCAAGGGGGAGCCAGGCTGCAGACTCTCCCCCCCCAGCAACCAATCTGTCCCTGGGGACTCCTAATGCAGCCCAGTGGCAGCAGCACAGCTGGCCGTGACACCCCTCATCCCATTTCCCCTCCTCCCCAGGCGATACCTGCATGGATGGACCGGATGGCGTTTTTCTCAGCCTCCAGGAAGGACACCAGGGCCATCATGACACCCATGGTGCTGGACAGGGCCTCCTCAGAGCCATAGCGGGAGTACACAGGCTTGCCCGCCTCGCTCAGCACGAAGACATGCTTCCGATGCATGCGCCAGGCGTCCATGGTCACGTCCTCCTCCTCCTTGCCTGACAGCACCGAATCGCGGCGGGTGGTCTGCGGGGACAGCTCCAGCTTCCCCTCCTTGCTCTGCCTCATCTCCTCCTCCAGGTCGAGGGCCATGCCCGTGAGCTGTGTGCTCAGCTCGCTAAAGTCCTTGCTGATCTGCTCCATGGTGGTCGGCTCGCCCGGCTCCCCACGCCTCTCCTCCGGGCTCCGCGCCGCAGCTGCTCCGTCCTCGGGACTCGTCAAGTCCTCATAGGAGCGGGTGTGCACGAACATGGCTCCCTCCTGGCCCGCCCCTGGGAACAACGGGCTGTCCAGCATCCGTCCACCTGTCCCCATGCTGAGGCAGCAGGTGGACAGAGGGTGCAAAAGGGACAGGGATTTGCAGGGAAGGACCTGCCCTCCTTTCCCCATCCCACAGCACCCAGGAGTGTGGGTCCTGCTGGTGGGGTCAGCAGCGGGCCCATCTCCCCCTGCCTGCGGGGCTGCGCAGGGCCAAGCTCACGTGAGAAGGAGCTGCTTTGTTTTTTCCCCTTGCTTGCCCCCACAGCAAGCTCTGCCCGTACCTGGCTCCGTCCCCTGCGCCAGCCCCGGTGTGGGGCTCTCGGACCGCTCCGTGTGCTGCCCATCTCCTGGTGTCAGGGACCCGTTGGGCACTTCCCAGCCTTTCTTCTTGTGGACATCCGCAGCCATTCCTCGGGGCAGGACCTGCACGTGACACACGGTATCAGTTCTCTGTTCCATCACCTACAAAGCAGGTCCTGAAATGGCTCTGCTCTCAACCATGGCCATGCCAGCATCCTCGGCCCAATCCTGCTGGCTCAGCAGGCAGCACTGAGCTCTGGTGAGACGTCAGGAAAGCTGCTGTAATCCAGCAGGATTTCCTCCCCCCGCCGTGGCCCCAGCTCCTTCCAGTCCCCCAGCCCGGCACCTTTCATCCAGGCTTTGCCCTGATTTCCCCTGAGGGCCGGGAAAGCAGCTCAGTGTCCTAGCAGCGAGGGGAAAGGGAGACGGCCCTGGACAGGGCTGGTCCTGCACACAACGAACCCAAAGGCCTCATGTTTGCAAAGGGTGTGTTTTATGGCCCTTCGCGGCCTGGCTTAGGTGGCTGAGATGAGAGCAGGATGGTGACAATCCTCCTGAGGCCAAGGCAGCTCGGGCAGCGTAAGCCCCTAGGAGCAAGGAGGCCCCCGGAGCCCCTGCCCGGTGCTCACCCCTTGGGCAGAGCCCACCCGTACCCCCAACCCGGGGGATCCAGCCCAGCAGCACACACACGGGCACAAGCGAGAGCAACAGTTGGCAGCCAGGGACCCTGCACCTCCGAAGCCGGCTGACTGACCCTGGACACCGACCCCTGCCACACCTCCTGCCCAGCCGGTAACGCCGCGCCGGGGGGAGCCGGGCCCTGACCCCGAAAGCCGGTGACAACCCAACAGCCGCGGATGAGGGCCCGGTCCGCGCCTGGCCCTTCCCTCCTGGCTGCACCACCGCCAGCCTGCTGTCCTTCCCCGCAACCCCGCGGCCCAGGCCGGGCGAGGGTCACCGCTCCCGGACCGCCGATGTGCCGCGGGGCAGCGCCGAGCTCGGGACCCCCCGCAGCCCCGGAGGACAACGCGCAGGGACCGACCTTCGTGGCTCCTCCCGTCGGCGCCGGGCGCAGCTGCGGGGGGGGCCGTCCGGCAGCCCCCAGCACGGCCTAGGCGGGGCGGGGAGCACGGCACCGGCGGCGGGCGGCCACCTCCCGCCCTGCCCCTGTGCCCGGTCTCCCCAGCGCCCCCGGCATCGCGGCGCCCCGCCCCGGCGGGAACCGCCCCCCGCGGCCCGGCCTCACCGCCCCGAGGCCGGGCACCGTCCCCGCGGAGCCATGGGAGCTGTAGGCAGGCCCCACCGCTAACCACGGCCCCGCGCCCCCAACTCCCGGCGGGGCTCGCACGCTGGGAAATGTAGTCCGCCGGCGCGGGGCACGGCGGGACCGGTAGCTAAGCTATAGCGGAGCGGGACTACATTTCCCAGTGTGCATTGCGTTGCCGCCGGCGGGGGTGAGGTCAGCGGAACTTCCGGCTCCTCGCTGTGGTGGCGCTGGGCCTGGCGCGGCGGGAGAGGCGGCGGCTGAGGAGGAGGTGAGCGGTGGCCGTGTCCCGCCGTCCTGGCCGTGGCCCCTCCGGAGGAGCCGGCACCGGGTGGTGCTCGCGGGTTTTGTGTGGGGAGAGCCCTGCGGGTGCGGGCTCTGGCGTGGGGCCGCCCGGGTGACGGGGCGGGCGCGGCTCCCGGGGGTCTCCCGGGGTGCAGCGGCTGGGCAGAGCCTCCCGGCGGGCATCCCGAGCAGGGCCGCGGGGAGGGGTGTTCCCTGGGGTAAAGGAGGTGTGTCCTAACGGCCCCCGGCGTGGGGACGTGTGTGCCGCTGGGGCTGTCTGGGATAGAGAAGCGTGTGTGGGGAGGCCCTTCGCAGGGCCGCTGGGGCGGCGGAGCAGAACGTTCCTCCTGTGGGACCATCGGGATGGGGGGTGTCTCTTTTGGGGTCACTTGCGATGGGGATAGATCACGGATGGGGCTGCCTTGGCTGCGAGCTGTGAGGAAGCACGGCCCTGCGCCATGCCCTGCTGTGGCCTCAGACTTCATATCCTCTTTGGAGCCCTACGCCTCAGTGGCCTGTGGGACATGGGCTTGGGGGGCTCAGACCCCGGTGCAGGACTACTGTGGAGTGTCCTGCACGGCTGTGCTGGGTGCTGGGGCCTTCTGCCTGTGCCAGCATCAGTGTTTGTGGTGTTTCTGGGTATACCTGTGTTATCCTGAGGCCCTGATCAATGCCTGGTCGTGCCACGTCATACGTGCTTCTGTGAAAAGTGCCTCAGAACATTCGTGGTTTTGGAAAGGGTGGACAAAAAGTGGGCTGGATACATGCTGGGCTGCAGGGAAAGGTGGTGGGGCTGTTGCACAGTGTGTTGGCTGATGGTAACTCCCTGCGATGGGCTAAATGGGATTTTGGACTGTAAATAAAAGCTTAGGTGGAGCAAGCTGAGGCCTTGCTTCTGCTGGAGGCTGGCGAAGGCTGGGTAGTGCTCAGGGGCTATAGAGCTAAGGGAGTAATAACAGTGACCTCCCATGTTTTGTTTTTCAGTCACACCATGAGAGTTTGGTGTGATTGCTGCTCTGTGGCATTAACTTTGGAAATGCTGCTGAAGGTGGAATCCACTTTCCTACCCCAGTAGGGTGCTGGTGGTGCAAAAGTCTCTCCCAACAATCCCTAGCTGGGAATGCACTTGTGAAGTTCTTTGGGACAGGCAAAGTCAGGGTAATAATGGGGCGTATATGTGTTAGAAATTCACCTGATTGTTTCTAATACAAGTTTTTAAAAGCATCTTGCAGCTGAAAAGGAGACTCATACGCCTTTGTAAGTGAAAACCTCCACCCTGACACCTGGGAGAGCCAAAATGGTTCTCCCTCTGCTTTCAAATGTCAGTGGCATGGTTTTGATATTTCTGGATTAGACATCTTCAATTTAAACATTGACAATAACAGACTTTCTTGGCTACTTGCAGTTTCTGTAGCTTGGGGAAAGGTTTTCTTTTGTACCTTCTGTAGTACTTGATTTTCACAGAGGCTTGCAAAAACTTTACTCGGTGCAGAAAGTTGTTCTGCAGCAAGTTACTTCCTCTGCTCTTTGAGCATAGTTCTGTGTGTAGTTATGTGTTTGGTTTCCTCATGCTCTATAAATACCCAGTCTGGCAGCTTTGGCAAGGTCTGTTTGGAGAGAAGTTGTGAATATCAGGGTATTTTTCTGAAAATAGCGTCTCTGAAATGTCACCTCACCTAATCTGTCACTCATTTCTCCTCTCTTCCCCCACATTTGGGAAACAAGGTGTGAAGCTGGGTGTAAATTGGTGAGGAGATGCCCGAGGACTGTGCTGGCATTCCTCACTCTGCCCCTTGCCTCAGACCTTTAGTTGTTCCTTAAGAAGGTCAGCTTCTTAGTCTGGTTCAGTTGCATGATTCTGATGTACAGTGTCATTATTTTACCATAGTATGTCATGAATTGGAATAAGAGATGCAAAGGAATCTGCTGTCAGGACTGGCATGTGTGGTTTGGTAAGTGGAATCGGGAATACCCCCAGGCACTGGGGGATGCTGGGAAGGGCAGGGCATGGTCCTGAGGAAATTCTTTGGGAGTAATCACCAGGGAGCATCTGTAGCTCCATCAGCCTCTCCTAGGAAGACCAGTGGTCCTTGGAGGAACTTAGACCACAAAAGAGCTTCCCTTCGAGATGCACCTTCTGTATCTTCACTGGAGGTGAGGCTTTGCCAACAGGAAGTAGAGCCAGCTGGGGTAGGAGGAGGGAAATACAGTATTCAGGATGCGTATTTATCCTCCTGAATATCCGGTCTAATTGTAAGAGCTAATTATTGCCTTGAACTCTAAATCTGGGCTCTGTGAGTGATTGGACCATGTTATGTGTTCTGTGGTTGCGTTACTGTGTCATTCTGAAACATCCTTTGTTGATGTCTCCTTCAGATGCACGGTTGTGACTGAATTATGGCAAAATTAATTGATTGGCAGTTCCTAGGACTTGGGGGTGGATTATTCCTGTGTTTTGATGCTGGTCTGGCCCCAGCCCCGGGCTCTGTTGGTGTCTGGCAAACAGCCTTGCTCTCACTGACCAGTCTCCTAGCTTCTGCCTTCCAGCAGGGAGGTGGGAGCTGAGCTGGCAGTTACCTGCCTGCAGCAGAAGGATGAATCCTGATGGCTTCTCCTCAGCATGCATCTTTGGGGCAGCTGTACCAGGGTGTGCTTTCAGAACATCTTGGCATTGATGGAAGCCAGCCTAAGAAATTTCTGCCCCTGTCCTGCAGTGTGCTGTCACTTTGTTTTGTGGGGCTGTGTAGTAAACCGTATCACTGCAATGACCTGGGTTAAATATAACTCTCTTTTGGAGGGTCATCCATGGTGCAGACCTAGAAAAGCACAGGCTGGCACGGCTAGCGCGTTGTGCCTTGCCAAAGGCAGAGTGGAGGGAGCACATTGTATCAGGCTGAGCAGGGGACTCGGAGCCAGTGTTGCTGCCTGTGTTATTGAACCATGACCTCATACTCATGGATGTCGCTGTGTGGCTCAGCTGATCTGTGCCAGGCCCAGTGTCAACCCTATGGTGTTTTTTATCTCCTCTGATAATCTGAATGTTATGTCCAAACAGTTCCCAGCTGGTAAAGGTTTGTTGTGTTTTGATTTTTGTTTGTCTGTTTTCTTTTTAGCATTGTTAAGCTTGTTGACTTAATGAGAACTGCGGGAGGAAATCCAAAAAGGAAGAAAAAGAAACACCAGGTCTGTAGATGAGGGTGGTGAGGCACTGGCATGGGTTGCCCAGAGAAGCTGTGGCTGCCCCATCCCTGGCAGTGTTCAAGGCCAGGTTGGACACAGGGGCTTGGAGCAACCTGCTCTAGTAGTGGAAGGTGTCCCTGCATGTGGCAGGGGGTTGGAACTGGATGAGCTTTAAGGTCCTTTCCAAGCCAAACCTTTATGCAATTCTAGGATTCTGTGTTCGTAGGCTGCAAAAGTTCATAAATAGAAGGACCAGCTGATGCCAGCCAACCATAATGATGACTGCCGCAACCATCTCCGTTTACCTGCTCTCTGTGAAGCGTGCAGTCTCAGTTCTCTTAGATTCACCTCCGGGAAAGAAAATACGATGGAGCTAACAGAGGAAGTCCTCTGGATCAGGGGCTTGCTTTTTGCATTGAGAGCCATGTAAAACATGAGAAGACCAGTGCTCTCGGGCTCAAGTGGCCAACTAAATGATCCTGTTTCTTTAGAAATGGGGCACGTGATTCAGTGGTAGTTGTACAGGTTGCCTTCATCAGCTTGCACACTGTTACGTACTCCCCAGCTCCCACATGAGTGTTCCCTGGCTGGTGATGGACCCCGTCAGGAGCGGGAGCTCCCTTTTGGCAGGGCAGCTCCCTTCAGCTCCCTGGCACAGGTGACTGCCAGCTACAGCACTTGGAATTGCTCCCTGGTTTGAGATCTGTCACAAGCCGCTCTGTCAACCTGCCACCTGTTTGGCAGTGCTGACCTTTGGAAGTTAGAAGAAACAGGATCTGCTTTTCTTCAACCACTGTGGTCAGTTTAATCCTGCTTTTGAGCTGTTTTGCAGCAGCACGAGAGCACCAGGTCTCCTAACCCTGGTCCTGTGGCACAGGAGCCCTCCCACACTGCTGCAACTGAATTAGCCAGAGCAGATTTGAGACTGTCAGGTTGCTAGCTGCCTCATTTTGCTCTATGCTGCAACCTTTGTTTCGGGGAGAAAGATGGAAATATTTCCCATTTCAAGGCCTGGCTTTGACAGTCACCAGGAAATCCTCACCTTCTCTGCTGGTGGGAGGAAGTGGATGAAATTTTAGATCTCTGATGAGGCAAGTGTTATTTGCGTCACTCAGCTTGATGAGGGCAATGTTGGAGAACAGTGCCTGTAATGATTATTGGCAAAGTCTACTCTGTTATCTACATGCTTTTGAGGGCAGAGTAACCATAGTAGGCCAATAGTAGTGATCGTTTCCTTGAACAACAGGGAGCTTTTGGCAAAAAAAAAAATAGTTTGGATTAAACATTAATTGCAGACTGTTGTTCGGCAGCGGTCCTGGTTGGTGATGATTGTGGCTTTCTCGCGTCTAGCTGCGCTCCAAATAGTGTCAGACAGCACAGCATGTTGGAAAGCTTTATGTTAATCAAAGCAGATATCACATTGTTTGCCCACCCATATCGACAGCTTGATTTCAGAAGTCATTTGATGGTTGCAAATTTGAACATGGAAAAAGGCAACAATTAAATTCATTCGTGCCTGGATGTGGTCTTGTATATTTGTGGATCCTGATCAGAATCCTGACACACACCCCTTCTAATCAGCAGTGGTTTTTTTCACGTTATGTGTTCTTTGCTTTGTGGCTTATTGCCATGCTGTTTATTCGACAGGTTTTGCTGTCTTGGTGTTCTTAGAGTGAATTAACCATTTCTGGAAACCACCAGACAAGACCAAAATGTGGGGAGATCATCGACAAGGCAACAGAATGGGCTCTTTTCGGTAAGCACTTGAACGTACAGTTTGTTTCAGCAACATTCTGTGATACAATAAGCCACAGGAACTTTGTGTGTTAGTATTTCTGTGCAACCTTCTGCACACAGGCTATTTTGGTAGAACTCCTGAGGTCTGTGTTGAGTTAGGTGTGATTGCCAAAGAACAGGCAAGTTAAGTGACAATGTAACTTTCTGTATTTCTGAAGATTTGTCATTTGTTATTGTTTTTAACAGCAGCTGCTTTTAGTATTTCTGTTCCTTCTCCACACCACCTTTTCTAATGATGCTTGGTTTAGCCACTGTAAGCTAAGGTGGTGATAAGCCATGTGGGTTTTGGTGCTATGCACTGTTAAGACACAGAAGAGAAGAGCCTAATAGTGTCATGTTGATTCTCTTCAACTGTGGCGCTTGCCTTAACTTCAGAAATTCTGGCACTTCCATTGCACACAGCATCTTATGAAAACTTTGAGAGTTTAGTTCTCTCCGTGAGTTTTAAGTAGATCATATATCCCCATGTTCTTGGCAATACTCCTGCATAAGGCAGTTTTGAATGTCACTGGAACTGCCTTAAAGATTCCTATGCAACTGACCTGCACAGCATGATATTTTTCTTAGTTTATATTCCTCTGGTTATTAGTTGGCCCTGTGCTTGCAAGAGGGCTCTGGCTATAAAAATGAAAATGGAGGCACCAAAAGCTAGGGCTTTCCTCTGTTGTGCATAATTCTTTCATCCTTTGCTTATGTGCCCACCTCAGTTACTTAAATATCAACGTGATAAAGGTACTTCCTCGTGGCATACCTTAGGTTTCTGAAATAAGATACTTCAAGTAATTGTCTGACTGTAATGTATTGAGAAAGCTGATGAGATCTGAGCTATGAAAATGAGTATTCTCCAGCACATGTCTTAATGGCATTGATGAGGGAGTGATTGTGTTCTGTGATGATAACGGTTCTGCTGATTTTTAAGTGGATTTTATTGGCATAATTGCTTATGATATTGGGTGGGGAACTCTAACCTCGTACCAAGTTTTAATTACTGTTCTTCAGGGTAGTGAAACAGGGGTATGTAGCTTAGGGGATCTGTATGTGGTTTAACTGTGTAAATGTCATCTTGCATTCTGTTGGTGAGTGATTCTGTTGTGAAACTCAAAGAACAACATGACTTGCTGTAGTTGCTAAGGAAATGTCCACTGCTTTGGGTAGCATTTGGTGTTATTTTGAAATGTGTTGATATTTTGTTATTCAATTTAAAAAAAAATATATTGAAGCCTCACTTGCATGAAAAATGAGGTAGCTTCATCTCAAACCTCCCCTTCACCAAAAATCTCACTGGGTTTTGAAAAACTCTTTTAGGAGGAGACCTTTTCCTGAGTGGTTTTATACAGATAAAGGAGATAAAGCTCGGGAGAGCCCACTGCTATAGTGCTGTAAACTTGGTGTAAGACAGCCAGTCTGGAGGCACAAGCACAGGATCATCTTGAACACTGATTGTTGGCATATTCCTGTGAGGCATCCTCAGAGTCTGAACCGGTAGCTTTCAGCATTGTGCCAGTTTAGACTCCAGCACAAGGAAACAGAAATGAGTCTCTGTAGTATGATAATGGAGCATGTTTGGTAACCTCTGCTTTTATGTGCCTCAGGATGACGTGTTAAGTTAGCTGTTTGTAATATTGCCTGGAGAACTTAAGCTCAAGTGGTTCCTCACAGGCGTGTGCTGGTGATGCTAATGAGCAAACACACCAGCCGGTGGAACCTTGAACAGCTGCCCAGCTGTGTGCAGTGCAGGACTATGTGGATTGCTACCATCATTAACCCATTAATATTGCAGGTATTCCCTGTTGAGTGCTTCTGGAAATTGTGCTGAAATGGGAGCACCCAAGTTTACTTTCTCACATCTGTCGTATGCTGCCTCATCTTAAACTGCCAAACATCAATATCTTCTGCGGATCTTAGACTGTTACACAACTCTATAAAAAGTTTAGAGAAGAATGTGCTGCTGTGTAGATTTCAGACTCTAAGCACGTTATGAATAATACTGTCTTTATTTCTACAGTGGGAGCCAAGAAGAAAGGTTTGCTCCCGGGTGGAACAGGGAATATCCTCCTTCCCTTGATAGCCTTGCTCAAGAAAGACACTCTGGCAACTTCTCTGGCAGAGAATCACTTCCTTTTGATATCCAGGCACTCACAGGCCTCCTCAATCCTCAGTTTGCCAACAGAGAGGAACCTTCTTTCAGCTTTGGAGCTAGAGATGGACCACGTAGTGACTTCAGAGGTGGGGAGGGGCACCATGATTTCAGGGGCAGAGATTTTCCACCATCTGACTTCCAGGGCAGAGATGAGTCTCAGATGGATTTCAGAGGTAGGGAGCCACACTCTTCTGAGTACAGGGGCAGGGATATGTACTCTGGAAACTTCAGGGACAGAGAAGGGCCACCTATGGACTTCAGAGGTGGGGACGTTCCTTCAGTGGACTACAGGAATAGGGAGACATTCCGTATGAACAATAGGGATAGGGAAGCACATAATATGGATTACAGGGGCAGAGATGAACCTCCATCAGACTTCAGGGGAAGGGGGTCTTTTGATCTAGACTTCAGAGGTCGAGATGGATCTCATTCAGACTTCAGGGTGAGAGATATGCCTGAGTTAGACTACAGGGGCAGAGAGCATTCCTATTCAGACTTCAGAAATAGGGACGTACCTGACTGGGACTTCAGGGGTGTGGGCACCTCTGATTTGGACTTCAGAAACAGAAATGCACCATCATCAGACTTCAGAAATAGGCACAGGTCCCGATCTGATCAGGATTTTAGGAGCAGAGATGTGGCTCCTCCTATGGACTTCTCAGACAGGGAAATGCCTCCTGTGGATCAAAGCCTTGTAGATTTTAGGCGCAACCAATCTACTGTACCTTTAGCAGAAAGAGAGGGCTCTGGTTTAAGCACCAGCAAGAGAGAGGAGTCTGCACTTGATCTAGATAGAACTCCCTTTGGTAGCCAAAAAGGAGAATTTCAACATTCAGAAGCACCACCCAGAAAAGAGGAATCCCATGGATTGGGTCTTGAAGACGACGCTTCACACAATTTCCAAAATAGCTGTGGACCTCTTCCTACTCTTCAGGAACAAGAGGAGCAACCTCAGACCTTTTCTAACAAGCAGCAACAGCAGCAGCTTTCTGGGGGGGAGCAGCAAAGATCCGATTCTGATCTTGGGTTAAAGGGTGAAGGTGGCTTGGATTTCCTTGGAAGGCAAGACACTGACTACCGAAACATTGAGTATCGTGATGTGGATCACCGGCTGCCAGGGCATCAGATGTTTGATTATGAACATGGCAAGTCCTTTTCAGAAGGAAAACCCAGCAAAGATTCTAGGCCCTATAAGAGCCTTCAGGTAGGTGGTTTTGTCAGGTGATGTTTCTGTTAAATGTGTGTTGGCCAAAGAATGGAAGGAGCTATGAAGGAGTCTTCTGTTCATATCCCATCACTTCAGTTCTATCCTAATTCACCGTCCTTCTCTGAGATCATCCTCATGCTCCAGGTTGTTTTAATGAGCACCTTTTCTATCTCACAAATACTTTCTTCTCAAGAGAAATGCAGTTTAGCAGTTGGGAATTGTTAAAATACATGGAACCAGATTTGGTTCAGAAAGGTCCCAAGTTGAAAATGACCAGAGGGAAGGAGAGAGTTGGGGAAAAATAATACATAGAAAAGCTTATTTTGTTGTTTTCTCCTGAACATTGCTTATGAGCACTACCATAGAGGAGCTACTTGCCTGAGTGGACCTGTGTAGAACAGTACAGCTGTTCTCGTGCAGGCTTGCTTTTCCTTCAGAGTTAACTTTGAAATCTGAAGGTGATGGTAACTACTGAATTAATAACTACTGTTGAGATTGAATTGTGTGCTACCATCTCTCATTTGTAAAAAACATCTTGATTTTGTGAACTCAAGGACCAAGATTACCGGACCTGTCCCAAATATGTGAAGCCAAGCAAGCTCATTCGGTTAGGAGGAGTGCCTGAAACTGCCACAAAGGATGACGTAAGTGGGATGTTTTTAATCCAAAAACTTCTTTCAGGGGTTTTTAAAAGCACCATTTTAAGTCTGGTTAATGTAGTACAGATGGTCTGTCATTTTCCTCAGGAAAAAATCCAGATTTAGAAGTCATTGCAGTGTTATCTTTTACCTTGTTATTCTGGGGTTTGGGGAGTCTGTAAGTGATGAGTTTTTCTGCAGTCATGTGTGGGGTGTTGGTGGCTAAAAGCCTCAACTCCAGACTCTTTAACATGCCTTACTTCCATCATTGCTTTATATACCAAATATTATTATTTTGTTGTTATATTTTGGGCTCAGAAGACATGTAGTGTTGAAGTGAACTTGTTTATTCTTAGTTACTTGAAATTGCTTAAATGAGATCTTATAAAGATGGAAAAGATGTCTGCTGCTACTGCTGATTTTAGTAAAAAGGCAAAAAATAATCTAGGCTACCAGGTGAAAGAAGCTCCCTTTCCAAAAGGCTCCACTTTGAATTAGGTTGGGGTTTTTTGGTGGCAGTTCCAGATATGAGAATCCCTACATGCAACAGTTTTTGCTAGGGTTAGATGTGGTGGTCAGAGGCTTGGCACGGGAGAACTCATGGCAGAAACTTCAGCCATCAGGGGATGATAAGACTAAGAAAAGTCACCCCATGTCCTGTGATTTCTGAAAGGCATCAAGATATCTCTGACCTTAAATAAGGATCAGAGGTGAGCTGTCTGGCTGAAAGCAGCATAATAAACCTTTGCACAGTTGGATTGTGGTGTAAATGGTGCTTACTTACTTATACAAAACCCCAAAATACTTCCCAAACTCAAAGAACAGCTCTCGGGTACTGCTGGAACCTAATCAGAAAAATGTCTCAGTTTGTAACAGAGTTAACTGAGAAAGAAAAGAAGTCTTGGGGAGAGAGAAGTGTGCATTAGCAGGTGCTTCACTTTCTGAGGTTTGAGTTTGGAGACTGAAGTGGGTCTTGGTTTTCCTGTAGATCCTCAATGCTTTCCGAGGACCTGATGGAACACCTGTGAAGGACTTGCGACTGAAAGATTACAGTTCAGGTGAGAATGCTTTTCTAGTGCTTTTAGTTTCAAGTTTACAAAAGGCATTTTTCACACTGACACTCACGTTGGCAGTTTGATTAAGTCTTTGGTGCCATAATTACAGGCATTTTTGACCGAAAATGCTCACTGGGTTCTGTAGTTTGTCCTCTAGTCTTAAAAACTGATGGCTGTGCCCACTGGTACTTCAGAGATAAGGTGTATGTCCTGGTGCCTCTAGAGAGATGTAAGAGCAGCAAGAAAACAGGCTGTTCTAATAGCCGTCAAGAGTAAAGCCAATACTGACATGGAACAGCAGCCTAATTCCTCAATAAATTTAAAAGCAATTATTATTAAATCCTTTTGGATTGTTCTGTACCTTGTTTCTGAGATGGTCTTACTGTGGAACATGTCCTGCACAAGTAACGTCCTCAGGAAAACTGATACATCCTAACATTTCTCCTTCAGTAACATGAGCTGTTACTTAGACATGAAGACAGGTTAAAAAAAAAGGAAAAAGTAAGTTTTATAAGCAAATATCCAAGTACTGGGTCTGGATGCTCTTCCTCATTCAAAGAATAAAGTTTTGCTGTACTTCTGATCAGTATGTATAGGATTCTGAAGAAAGAAATATTTTACAAGGCTGCTTTGTGAGAAAGTTGTACTGGAACAGAGATGTGCGATGGTAGGAAATGCAGGGTGAGTCCTGGGAATCGGTTTGGATAATACTGGTAGGAAATACCTGGTAAACAGTACTTTTTGTTTCTTAAACTTATAAAAGCAGAGGCTTCTACCTTCACCAGTGCTTTCTTATTAGCAGCATGGATTGCACATGAAGCAGCTGGAATTCTTGGTGTCAATGCATTGTATAAAGGCTTCCTGTATGTTTAGTAGCTGAGGAGCGAAACTGGGCCAGTGGCTATTTCTCAAGTGTATTTTTGTTTCTGGAAGCTGTCAAAGGAGATTTCACAACCTTTTTGTGAACCTTTGAACTAAAGAATACTCCTGTGTCACGTAATCTGGTCTGGCCCAACAAGCAGGCACACTCAGTCTTTCTTACTTCCTTTCCCCTTTTCTAAGTATAGTAGAGCATGGCTGTCGTCACTCGCACAACACTCACTGCAACCCAATAATTGCAACATCCTTATTTTTTTGCCTGTGCTGATGCGATTTGTTAGCTGTTTCTTTTCTGAAACACATCACTTTTCAGTAATAAATCAACTTGAACTGGAAATATCTTCGTAAGTCTCTTATATATGTTATTAGGACTTCTTGCCGTCATTAGAGAACTGTTGTCTTCTGCTTCTCATTCCCTATTTCAAAGGATGAGAAGCAGTGTTTGAAGTTATGTGCAGAAGCCCTAGTATCTGCTGGTGGTTGCTTGTAATATGAGGGCTGCAGTTCTTTGCTCTCTCCCTAAAGGGTGCATTCTCTTTAAGTCTTGTCTCCTCAGCTGCAAAGGTTGTTTGTTTTTTTCTTTTTCCCTGGCAATTGTGGGAAGGGAAAGAATGAAGTTAAAATTAGCTCGTATTTTATGAACTATTTAAAGCTGTTGTTTAACCTGGTCCTGTCAACATCAGTAATTTAAGCAGTGGAGGATTATTATGTGGATGCTTCATAGACTTTGTTTTGCAGTATGTCCTGAGGCTGCAAGTGCAGCTGCTAATTTAAACAGCTTTCTGATCTTCTTACACAAGATGGATACGTCTAGGACAATAATAGCTTCCTGAATTCTGAAAACTTCTTCTTGACAATGGGTTTACTAGAAGCTGTAGTAAATTCAATCCAGCTTTTCACGTGAGGTCATCCTATAGAGAAGTATGTGAAACTGAAGTCATATTGACTTGTGAAAGGCCAAGCGTGTTTGAAACTAGAGGCCAGTCATGAGTGAAACAATGCTTTTAGGTGTGTATGTAAATATTCATAAGAATCGGAAGCAAACTTGCTGGATTATTTCTGTCTCCTGGATACACCTGGACCCACTGGCTGCATTGCTCTATCCGCTCAATGGGATGGCAGCAGGCTGGCTCAGAGGAGTGCGTGCTGAGCCTGTCTGAGTGGGTTGTATAGTTTGGAGTGCTGTCCAGAAAGGTTAAAAATAACATTAATCATGAGTATGCATGTGGAGTGTGTTTGAGAGAAGAATGCCTGCAGCTGGTGGAGAACAATAACAGCCATAACAAACAACACGCAATTAACTTGGAATAAGTGAGGTTCGGATCAGCTTCACAAAAAGATAACGCTGATCATAAAGCTTATCTCAGCAGCTTCAGCATGATAATTCCACTGTATGATCTTCACGAGACTCTTTCTGTTCTGGGGGAAAATATGTGGTTGATTTTTTTTCCTTGGAAAACACAGCTCAAGTTCTTTATAAAGCCCTTTCTTTTTATGTACTGTGTATGTGCTAAGGGAAGCATATTTTCACTGAAGATTGTGCTGAGCATGGAACACTGTTCTTAATATACCTGATACGATTTTGGTACACATTCAAGCTGTTTATTCTTTAGATTATTTTGCCACTGAAGCCCGCAGACTGAAATGGTGGTTAGATTTTAATCGAGGTAGTAAGAGACCCCAAGAAGTGGCATAATAATTCTATTTACATCAAAAAGGCAGATATTTAGAGACAATGACAAAACCCAAGTCAGACTTTATAGTTTTACTCTACACAACGTCGACTTGTAATTTCAGTCAGATAGATTTTTGAATTGGTGCCTGTATGTTCAGACTGAAAGTATCAAATCCATTTGTGGGGGAAGAGGGATGCTTTCAATGTAATGTGTAACCCTTGGCAGGAATAACTGTATTAGACTGTTGGCTTATCTGTCAGCTTGCCTTTTCAAGTGTGTTTGGTCATGTCTGTTCAATTAATCATTACAAAGAATAAACCATGAGGTGATAGTGGAGTCTTCTCAAAGACCATCAGCTGTTTTAGTATGTGATACCTCATGCAGAGGCAGCACCAGGGATCTACTGCTGCTTCTGTAGATGCTATCGGTGTTGACTTAGCAGAGGCTCGCTCAGAAGGGGTTGTCAGTAATGGCTTGTGAGCTCCCCCTATCCCATCTGAAGGTACTTACCTCTGCTCACTGGTGTCAAGGCTCTCATGTGGGTTTACAGTGTGGGCCTCAATCTGTGGAGCTGCTACTGCAGTGTGTAACAGCACCAGGCTACTTGTGGCATGGTGTCTGTCATTCTCCTGTTGCTGCCTGTGTTGGTGCTGACTGCCTGGAACTTGAAACCTGTACCTTTTGATCTTCGAGGAATCTAACACGAACACGCCTTGTCCTGGGCTTGATTTTGATCGTATTTTAAACTTATCTCCTGCCTGATTCTCTTCAAGCTGTATTTCTGCTTTCCTGACTAATGCCAAACATAAGCAAAGTCTGAGATATCATCTTGAGTATCTGATACACAAAGAACTCTTTGGCTGAACACACACATATGACCTGAAGAAGAGGTCACATGGAGCTATCTTTGTCTTAAAGGGCTGCTTACTATGACTTGTTCATCCTTAAAAGATGCTGCAACGGTGGACAAGGAATAAGTGAAAACATAAAGTGTACTCCGAGTCTTCTGTTCAAGTGATTCTCCTGGATGTAGTCTGTAGTGGGACAAGCTTAGAATGTATGTTTTCCAACCAGGGTTCATGTTAGGGTTGGTACCAGCAGTTGGGAAAAGCTGTTCAGGGAAAATGAGCCTGAGAAATTGCTGGCAGCCCATGAAGCTTTTCTAGCTTACCCTGCAAGCCCATCTGGAGAACTGAGAGTTTTTCCTAAGCTGGGAGAAACTGGTGGAGAATGGACACACTGACAGAGATGGAAAGCAGCATGCCCAGAGGGGAGCTCTGTGAAGTGAACCTGGAGGGACCGGGTGAGCTGGGCTGCATCAGAAGGAGCAGCAAGGAATACCCTAGCTCCTTTGTGTACCCTCTAAATTAGTGCAGCACTTTAGAAATTGGTAGATTTGGGTTTGTTAACCCTCTCTGACTCTTCTGAATACTCACTTTTGAACCCTGGGTGGGGATGCAGGAGCACAGTGCTGCACCCCTAAGGAGCAAAGCACCCATGGAAATGGGATGACTGGAGCAGGGAGGAGCTCTGAACAGCAGAAATGCTTGGGGGCAGAGGGATGTGCACCTGAATACAAGTGGCTGATGCTGAAGGACAGGCATCCTCCTGTGGTGGAGGTACCTGCAGGAAATGTAGTGTCACCTGAAAATGGGACTAACCTAGCAGCTGTGTAATGGCAGCTGCATGCTCTGTGTTGAAAAGTTTTTGTTTTAGCAAGTACTATTGGTGCTAAATGTACTTTATTGCTTGCTTAGACACCTTCTGGCACCAGCATTTGTTTTTTGTTTCATTTCTCCAGACCTGGCCCTTATGTCGTGCTTGGAACTGCCCCCCTCATCCATTTCTTTGTTAAACTTTAACTGCCTTGGCTGAGTCCTAGAAGAAACTGGAATATCTTGCTGCTTCTTGCTGAGCTCTGCCACACTGGTGCCCTGTTAAATATTAATAAGCCCCTTAGATAAACCTTTCAAAGGTGCTTCTTTTCTTTCAAGTGCAGTCTCTCTTGTATATCAGAACAGTGAGTTGCTGGCTTCAGAAATATTTCAGGAGCCCTCTGAAATTTACATTTTTATTCTTTAGTACTGCATTTTTCTAAAACTCATTAATCTGAAGTCTAGAACTTCGTATTTCGTGGTGGAAAAATTGGTGCAGACTTCTGAGTGGTGCTCCTCTCCATACTAGGGATAAATTCTCCATTTTCTATAGCTGGAGTGAGTCCCAAGGCAGTAAGAGCTCCTCTCCTTTCAAGCAGAGCTGCTACTGTGGTAACAGGCATGGCTATGCATTTGTCTGGCCCAGGTATTAGTTCCCTCACTGTAGCTGTACATGCAGGTGGGGTTTGGGTTGGTAATGCCAAAAGGCTGGTGAAGTACTGTGCTTGCTCCCAGTGCCTGATGCCTCGTGCTGCAGCTTCCAGCCTTAGATGGGGCTGGGGAGCTGAGCTGC